TTTTTGCAATAAATAAAAGAAAAAGTCAAGAAGATTTCTATGTATCATGTTGTTTTTTGTGTTATTGTCATTCAAAAATAAGTTTAAAATACTCTATTTCATGATATTTTATTTATTTATTAACAATATTTTCTTGTCTGAAGACACTTTATAATGTCAAAAATTTAGCATTGATTGTATAATATTTATATTTTAAATAATATTTTTTAATTATATAATTTAAAATTAAAATAAACACAAAAAAAAAATAAAAGAAAGGTGAAAGAGAAAATAGAGGTACGCGTGAATTAATAAAATTATTTGTTCTTAAAAAATTTGTTAATTAAATTATTTGGCATTGGAAACTATGCCTTTTGGGCCTTACAGACTTGATCGTTTGAGACCCATGAAAGGGGCCCACAGCTTGGTCCACTAATTTTCCAAAATTTAAATATTACTATTACACCAAAACAAATAAAATAAAATAAAAAATCCTATTGAGGCTCATTAAGGTCAACTAGATGCGTAGGTCGCTTAAATGACTATCGGGGCCTTTCCGATGGGCCAGCTGTACTTCTTATTTTCTTCGGATGACCCCACCAAATTCGTTGACCAGATGATCCACTTGAAACCAAGCCTTAGTTATGATCTAATGAAATAATGTTACTAGTATTTTTTTGTAATCGAGAACTATGCCATACGTGTTTTAGATCCGTAACCGATTACAATTAAGATGTGCACAATCATTGACAAATCATAAATATCGGGTTATTTATGAAGACTCAAACTCGAGATCTCGAGTTATTAACGACTAAATCCCTTTCATAACATTACTTTTACACTTGATTTTTGCTCAGGGGTGAAGTTAGAAATTTGAGATAGCGGGAGCAAAAATTTTAGCAATAACAATACTATATGTACTAAATTAGAAAAATTAATGCATTTCTACCGTTGGATTAACTAATAAAATGTATTTAATGTTGATATAATATGCTAATTCAACAATAACAATGCATTGTAGTATTATCAAATTCAGCCTTTCAATTATATGTTAGTAACATTTTTTTAATAAAAGTAAAATTTAAAAATTTGAAATAATAATAAATTAAATGAGGTGGGCCAATGTGTGATTTGTTATTGTAATGTCAAGAGTAAGATGTGTATTCTTATCCTGCATTTAATTAAGTATTTTTTTTTGCGGCTTGAATCGTTGACATTTAAGTGGAGCAATGTATACCTTATATTTACCATCTTATTGACAAATTTTTATATTATAAAAATATTATATAATAATATTGTCATTCAATATATTAAAAATTTACAAATGCGTTAATAAGAGGGCTTGATCCAGGGTAGATAACAAAAAATTTCAAAATTTTTTAAACACGTATTAAGAGATTTAATTAAATTAAAATGTATGAAAATTTTTGTGGGGGTAAATTTAAAATATATTAAAAATTATACAAAAAAAATAATTGGACAAAAGAATTGAGTGTGGGCAACCGCCCCTCTTCCCACTTCAACTATACAATCTTGGCGTAAGCAGAACCACCTTTATAACTTATTGTGATTTGAAACCTACCGTAATGCCTACAACATTGGGAAAAAGTATGGTAAGTGAAGTTGTCGTTTTCTTAGAATTCTTGCCCCAATACAATGTATATTCCTTGACAGACCTTAAAATTTTCCTCCTCTTTTGCTTTTGTTCTTGTATGAGGCATAGGATCAATAGACACCACACATGCATTCCAAAAGTAACCAAACATTGGCATGTCATCATTAATTTGTACCACCACCTAATCTATGATTGAACATTATTAATGTATACTATTCATCTTTAAAATGATAGACATCTAATTATGGGCCTACACTTTAGAGAACGTGAATTATTTATCCATCCTATTATTAATTAAGGAGGGCATAATCTCTAAATTGATAGGCTTCGTTAGAATGGTATCAATGTGACCTTGCGACAATTTTAAAAAGTATAGACTGTAAATTCTTATATAGCCTGCCTCCTTTTCATTTGCGACAAATATGCAGAGTGGAGTGAATTATTTAGGATAAAAAGATAATAATACCTTAATCATTTTTAGCCTTTTTGTTATGTTGCCCATCTAGAATTTTTACTAAATGAAAAATAATCTGAATACATAAGGGAGAGAAAATTTGATTGGGTTTGGATCAGACTTTGATTGATTTGAATCCATATCCAACTTTAAAAATCCGATATGATAATCCGACGAATTTTATTTTTGTGATCCATATCCGAATTCGTTAACAATTCAAAATTTGATTTGATTCGAATAACTTAATTTAACTAAATTTTGTCAAATAATCACTTATATTTAGATTTGGTTCAAAATTCGATCCACTGGCAGACCTATTTATTAGAGTATCGTTACTCAAATTTCTCTTTCTTATGCATTCAAATTATTTTACAGACAATGGATCTAACATAAAAAAGGCAAATACTATGTTTTCGAACAATGGAGAGGCAAAGTGTTATATGTAGAAATAATAGGGAAGAAAAATGTAATTTAGGCTTCAAAGAAGCTTTTTATTTATTTTTTGATAGGTAATGATATTTTACACTATAAGAGAGGGGGAGGCAGACTTGAAACAACGTGCCACTCCATTTGTGGAAGTCTCCGACCATTCGAGTTAGATTTCGGTGAAATAACGAAAATAACCAGCTATTTTATCAAAAAGTTGTGAAGTTATGTTTAAAAATTACTCCCAGCTCCTCTTCCTAATCCTAAGAGGAATTGGTTGGTGGGTCTCTCTCTCTCTTTACTGATTAGTGTGCTTGAGTTTCTTTGATGTGTGAATTTTTTATGTGTTATATATGCATGTCTTAATCCAAAAAAAAAAAAATGTTTAAAAATTCAACTTTTGAACATGTCTAGACTCCAGAGCTAGCACCTATTTGATGACCAACAGTATGTGGTTAGGTTTTACTTAAAAATACTACTTTCCTATTCAAACTCTGAACAATTTCAAAAAGAAAAAAATAAAAGAAAAGGAAATCAAGTTCAATGGTAATATTTAAATTGACATATACAAGTAAAAGTTCAACAAGCACGTTGACAAGTAAGCTCATTCAAAGTCCAATTAAGTTTTTTTCCCTCTTCCTTCCTTCTAGTGTCTTAGAGAGCTAAATGGTTGCATAAGCCTATGAGAAATTGGACATAGTGGAATAGAATATTGTGTCGTAAAAGATCGTCTTCAATTAATTATGTTAAAATATAATACGATTCATTAACACAACACAACATTATACGATTTGAATATTTATTACGCCACCCATTTAATAAATAAGTGAACTCGACACGTAAATAAGTGAATTTAAGTTATGTTTGACGTAATTTTTCAAAATATACTATTTTTATTACACACTTACTATTTTCAAAAAAGACGTTGGTTGGTGAGTCCCTCTACTATACTAGTCAGTGTGCTTGATTTGTTTTGATATATGAATTTTTTATGTGTTATATATGCATGTCTTGGTCCAAAAAAACAAATGTTTAAAAATTCAATTATTGAACATGTCTAGACTCCAGATACCTATTTGATGACCAACAGTAGGTGGTTAGGTTTCACTTGAAAATATAACTTTCCTACTCAAACTTTGCACAATTTCAAAAAGAAAAAAATAAAATAAAAGAAAAGAAAGTTCAATGGTAATGTTTAAATTGACATCTACAAGTAAAAGTTCACCAAGCACGTTGACAAGTAAGCTCATTCAAAGTCCAATTAAGGTTTTTTTTCCCGTCCTTCTAGACTTCTAGAGAGCTAATGGTTTCATAAGCCTATAAGAAATTGTCGTAAAAGTACATAGTGGAATAAAAAATTATGTTGTAAAAGATCGTCTTCAATTAATTATGTTAAAATATAATTATGATCCATTAAAAAGACACAAAATTAGAGAATTTGAATATTTATTACGCCGCCCATTTAATAAATAAGTGAACTCGACACATAAATAAGTAAATTTAAGTTATGTTAAGCATAATTTTACAAAATATACTATTTTGATTTTTGATTACACACCTACCATTTTTAAAAATGACGTTGAAAATTCAATAATTTGATGACCGTAATATTTTTAACAAACTTTAGTTTACAAGAAATAAAATGTATTATCTATTTGTACTATTAATTAAGGGAGAGAGAGATTTTGGTGTGCACGCATAAAATGAGTATAATATCCATAATTTTTTTATGATAATTAATCATAACTTTCTTTTTTATTATACTTAATTAATTTTTCATAAAATATTATTATTCTTCTTCTTCTTTTTTTCCTTTTAAATAACCACTTACAACTACTTATAATTTTTTATTTAATCATATTTAATCATTCAAATGTTTATCAAAGAATATTAAAGCCCCTAAATTTATCTAATTAATTATTTTTTCACTTCTAAATCTTCTTCCATATTTAATTCTTACCAGGTATTTTACCGTTATACATTATCTATAAAATATTATATATTTTTAATTAATTATTAGTATTTGTGAATTTATAATCTTTTTTTGAAAAAAATTAACTTGAAAATCCGATAAGTAAGTGTTGTGATAATTTTTCATTAATTATTAATACTACATGAGAGTGGTACTTTGATGCCTTGTAAGCTATAACTACCGAATATTTTCTCCTATAGACACGACTGACTACCAGATTTGAATAATCCTATACCAGATTTGCATAATCCTATTTAGAAATATACGAAATCAAACGTTACCTTATTAAATTACGTAAAAGAAATTTCCTTAATTGAATTTATTTTGTGACAGAGACGGAATATTCCGTTGTGCCACTGTAATATTCCCTTCATCCCCAAACCCTCTTATAAACGGCGTGTTCTCTCACTCTCACCCTTCAAAACCGTTCCTCAGAGTTTGGCTTTGCCCTCCCTCTCTCTCGTCTCTTTCTTCGCTTCGGCTATTCCAACTTCGCCTCATAGACAAAGCAACGTCCAAATTTCTCGGGAGCCAACCACAACCGTTGATCAAATACACACACACATATATATATATATATATCGATAGATATACACACTGTCATACACATAGCTTTTTATATGTGTGAAAACCATAAACCTCTCTGGAGCTTGCCTTCCACTCTCTCTCTCTCTGCGTGAAAGGCGACACTTTTACGGTCATCGTTTTCTGCCGGTAAGTCAATAATGTTTTTTTACTTTTTGTATCCGAATTGTTTTTCATTGTGATTGTATCTTTATGTGAAATTGAGATGTATCTTCCAGATTTAGGGTTTTTGGTAGCTCAGAAATTGAGGGAAAATAAAAGAAAATTTGAAGTTTCTGGTTCTTTTTTTGGATTGTCGGTTATAGAAACTTTAATCTCAAGATTTTGAAATTGAGAATTTTGTCCCTTTCTTTCCTATTCGTATTATATTTTCTCAGCTAAAGCTATCGACGTTTGGTTTTTGTGAAACTAGAGGAATAGAAGGGAAGGGAAAAGATTCGTGGCTTTTTTATTTTTTACCCTATAGTTCGGCAAATTCAACGTAATTTGTAGCAGTAAAATCGTTGCTCAGTTGGGTTTTCTTCCCTTTTCTATTGATTCCTTTGCAATCAAGCGGAGAATATAGCAAAAAAGAAAATAAATTTCATTGTGTTCTCGTTTGACTTTTATTGGCTTGGGGTTGGGGGGAGGGGGTTGAAATTGTAATATCTGATATAATTCTTGAATTTATGACCATTTATAGGGAATGTTTTTAATCGAATAAGCCGCTCTTAAAAAATTTGGACCTTTTATTTTTAAGAGAAATGCTTTTTGGACAAAAAATATTGGCAATATTTGCCGACTCCCAATTGGGACCCACAAGATAAATCAATTATAGTGATGTTGAAAGGCAGCAAATGTTACCAATATTTTTTGTCCAAGTAGAATTGCTCTATTTTTAATTTGGGATTCTCTAAGTGTTTGCGAAGTAGGTGAGTCTATATGTGTTTGTGGTTAATTGCTGTACTAATTATTTTGCATGCTGGTGTTTGAATTTGGTTTTTGTAATCTTCAAGGTTAAGATGGTTTTGATGATATATTGTAGTGAAGCCTAGTCCCTGGGCGCTAGGCACTACTCTAGTGGCGTGCTTCCTTGTTTCTTCTTCGGTAAATGGGCTGTTTTCATTCTAAGGCAAGAAAGCAATTTCCTGGACACGAAGACCCAATAATTCTCGCGTCCCAAACAGCTTGTAAGTAATGTACTCTTTCAATGAGATCATGAAGCTACACTTTATTTGTCGAAACATCTGGTATTATTTTATGCACTGAAGATTTTGTGTTTGTTAGTTGTCATGCCAAAACTTAAGCCCATCGGTTGGTTAAATATAAGTTGTAGTTCACGGGCGCATGAGCAGATGATTGATGGTGTTGCTCTCATCCTCAGGCGCTTTGAAATATTGTACATGACCATTGTGAGTTTGTTATGTTTTTCAGAAGTATTTAGTGTCATCATCAGAGCTCTTCAACTATGCATCTACTTGATCGTTAAAAGATTGTTCACACATTGATAATCTGAAGTATGAGTATGCATGTGGCTGTACTTTTGGCATGTACTCTTCTGTAGGTTTAAATTAAGAGCAAAATAGCTATTTCTTCTATGCATGCCGTCCTGGTAATATGAAGCACAAGTACTTGCTTGCCCGTTGTTTTGGGTTAATATCTTTTTTTATGTTTATATTAATGCACAATATAGTTTTTTCTTCCATCTAGGGATTATCCTTGCTTTTTTTTTTTGGCATCTTTTAAGTGATCATGCATTTTTTTCCATTCAGTGCCCTTACAGCATTTGTATTTTCTTGGTATTATATTGGTCATTTACTTCATTTTATAGGGAAATTCTTGTTCATATGCCTTTTTTTTCCCCCCGTTTTCTGCAGTCAGTGTTAGTGAAGTTGAAGCATTATTTGAGCTGTACAAAAGCATTAGCAGTTCTGTGATTGATGATGGACTAATAAGCAAGGTAATTTCTACCAGTACTTGTACCAAGGGCTCCTTTGTTTTGCTGTTCATTTTGTTGCAATGCTCACCTTGCCCTTGCCTGTACCCCAGTTTCACTCTCATTTTTTCTCTACCTAGTCTGCCATAAGATTATGTTATGACTGTCCTTTAATGATAGTTCAGATCTTCTGTGATCGATATCTAAATAACACCTGGGGTCATCAATGTTGAGCTGCATCCTTTTATTATGATATCTAATGGTTTGAACAACTATAAACCAGTTCTGCAACCAAAACTCAAGTGAGGCACTGTTTGTCAAACTTCTTGAGAATTCGAAGACATTTTCATTGACTCTCATGGATACATAGTGTTGAGAAAACTAGGGATAGATGCCTTTTAATCTTTTTCCCCCTGTTTGTGACACAGGAAATTTCCTTTAACATATGATGTTTGTACAAAATATCAAACTTCTGGTAAACATGGGGGAAGTTCATATTCGCTAGAAATCGAATGGAATAGTTTAAGCACCTGGGTTGTCGACTGCCATTATGTCCATCATGTCATATGATTGTCTAGGTGATTGACTGAGCTTCTTTTGGGTATTAAGAGCCATGAAATCTATGAATGAAGATACATGCTCGTGGGAAGGGTGAAAAATATTATTTCGTATTTTTACTTAATTTCTAGCTTTTATGGGAAGTATAAAGATTTACAATTGTTTAGGATGCGGTGGTTATAAAATGGTGAAATTAGATGTAGCTGTGTGATTACTCTTAGTCGTAAAATAGTGTTGGTGGCTAAGAACTGTCAGAATACTGGTTTCACATAATTATTCTTTGATAATGTCATGTGCATTGCATTTTTTACAGTATCATCTGAATTGGCAGAAAATGTATTAAATATGGTTATTTAGCTATTTTTTAAGGTTCTCGCTGCCTGATATACAGAGGAAGATTTCTTTTTTCTTTAATTTGGTTCCGATGTGATATTCGATGTTCATGCCGCGTATGCAGGAAGAATTCCACTTGGCTTTATTCAAGAACACGAAGAAAGAGAATCTCTTTGCAAATAGGGTATGATGTTTTATGATTTTGGATTCAATTGAGATTCAGTTGAATTTTTTTGTGCTTTAAATATCATGTTGGTTCTTATTCAATGACATAATTTACTTTTCAGCCTCTGTAAGTGAATATGCTAATAATAATAAATCGTTCACCGAACATATCAGAACGTTTTAACTTTTTATGTATTACTATTTTGTGGATCCATAATATGTGAAGATTTGAAGGGTGGTACTTGGTTTGTATGATGTTTAAGTATTTTGGCTGGGATCCTAGATGTGTATTGGTGAAATTAAGGATCGTACATCCATCTTTTGTCTGACATGTTAATTAATTTCACTTGAATTGTTGGCTGAAACTTTTGCTGTTCTTTTGTGGTCTATAATTGCATGTATACATGACATTGATTAATGTAGACTATTCTTTTGTCACGACATGCGCTTACTGAATAAGCAGCTTGGATGTGTTTTTGGGGACTTGATTGATAGTACCACCTTGGGTCTCTCTTGATAACTACAAAATTCTCATTTGAAAGTAGCATTATGTACTAGTTGATGAAAGTAAAGAAGGAATTAATAATAAACTAGAAATTTAGCGAGAAACCCTAGAATCAAAGGATATAGGATAAGTAAGACTAAAACTGAGTATATGGAATGTAACTTTAGTAAAAGAAAAACTCAAAAACCAGAAAGTAATAAAAGTTGAAGATCAAGAGATACTAAAGAGTGAATACTTTAAATATTTAGGGTCTATTATTTATAGAGAGAGTGAGATTGAATGTTATGCGTAGAATTAATGTTGGATGGGCTAAATGGAGTAATGCATCTAGTGTATTGTGTGATATATGTATACCCCTTTTAAGTTAAAAGGAAAATTCTATAGAATGGCCATAAGACCCGCTATGTTTTACGGTGCTGAGTGTTAGACAATTAAGAAACATGTCCAAAAGTTATGTGATAGAAATGATTATGTTAAGATGGATGTATAGTAAAACTAGAAAAAATAGAATTAGAAACAAATATATTCATGAAAAAGTAGAGGTAGCACATATAAGAGACTTACTCCAACACTGGTGAAAAAGAGTGATATGATAGTTATTGAAGGTAAACGTAGGGTTGATTGAAAAAAAAAAGAAGAGAAAACGTAGAGACGAAGGAAAACCAAAATTAACTTTAAATGAAATAGTAAAGGAAGATATAATAACTTATGATTTAATTGAAAATGTTACCCTTATAAAGCTCAATGGTGAAACAGGATTCATGTAATCGACCCAAAAAACGTTGGGACAAGGTTTTGCTGTGTTGAGTTGAGATTTTCCATAGCGAATTGTATTCTGTGAGAAGAAAAGGAATTTGTAGTTCACAAGAGTGTCACTGTGTGATGGTGTAGCTTTTTAGTTGTTTCTCCGCATTTGGGGCAAGTGGTCAGAGATATGCATCCTTAATTATGGTTTGTGAGTTTCATGACACTTATCTTTTTATTGCAAATTACGGTGTTTTAACTATTCGTTGTATGACACCAAAATTTATCCACGTATGAAATTACGGGTTTTGTTTTTTTGCAAAAGCAGTCTGATGGAAAACAATTCCAACCTCGTTCATGCTGTGTGGATTTGCTAAGAGATAGTTTTTGTAGAAACATGATAGTCCTAACTATTGTAAAATGTTACTTTGTCAGTTGGTAGTAGAGAACCTCTGCTTTATATGATGTAAGATTCCCTCAAAAGCATCCAATCCATTCTATGATGTTGTGGTTAGCAAATGCGGCTTATGCATGTTGTGGTTATATGTGGATGTTAATAGGATAGAGGTTGCCAAAGAAGGCTTATGCTGCCTTTTGATAGTTATTTGACCTTAGGTGTTTTAATCGTAAGACTAGGTAAAGTTTGGATTGGTCACTTTCAGTCTCTTGGACTTGAAGAACCATAATGAGGGAATAAGCCAGACATGCTACAATAGGTCCTTGAGCCTTTTCCCCAACTCCTGCATTCCTAGTGTCAAATGCAAAGGCAAGGTGCTGAGTTCTTATAGTAATTCCACACTATGCTTGTTTTTCCAAAATGACCTTTAGGAGTATTGGGACCAATTGAAGCATTGATGCATCTAATCTTTATGAGGATCTTGAAAGGGTTGAACCAAATTTATCTCAAGGGCAATGCATTGAAATTATTGCTTGAATCTAAGAATTTAAGTAGAAGCTTGATCGAAAATTGATGAGCTATTTTTTCTGGTTGGCCTAAATGTCGTGTGGTTGAATGGAAGCTTCTGCGTTAAAGAGTTCAAGTTGTTAAGCTCTATATACTTGCTAGGCTGAATCGGATGAATGTGTAGATTCCTTCACATAGTTAATATTATTCGAGATGATAACTAGTTGCACTACATTTATGATGTGCTTGCCTTTGAGTTGGATATGTTTTACCTGCAGATATTTGATCTATTTGATGTTAAGCGAAAGGGAGTCATTGATTTTGGTGACTTTGTTAGATCACTTAATGTCTTCCACCCGAATGCCTCAGAAGAAGAGAAGATCGATTGTAAGTCAAGATGATTGCCAACACTGGTGGTTTTATGCATCCCAAAGCTTGCGTTGCAATAGCTGCATATATTTATTGATTATTTGGTATTGCATTGCAGATTCATTTAAGCTTTATGATTTACATGGCACGGGATTTATTGAGCGGCAAGAGGTTTGTTTCTACTCTTTTGTCTATTTCTTTTAGCTTTTGTGTGTGGTTCCACTTCCCTGGCTAGCTTTGCAAAAAAAATTAATATTTCTACGCCCAACTCTACAAATTGCATTGCACATATTAGGCAATGGTAGCATTTGTGATTACTTAATTTTTCTGTCATCTTGGATAACTTTTTTAAACCCTCATTTCTTGTTTTGATGATGAATGCACCACATATTTTTTGTTGCTCTATTTTCCTCTTCATGATCTTTTACCAATGAATGTTGCTTTCACCTATTCCCTATTATTAAATAAAGATGCCTCTTACCTTATCTTGTTGATTTCTAGTTATTTTGTGCATTTTAGCCAATATGAGAGTTTACATGTTGTCTTTGATATTCTGTGCATTTTACCCAATATTAGTATTTACAGACTTGCCAATAGATGTCTTATGTCGGTTTCTAGTTATGTCCAGAAATAAATCAAATTCATATTATCATGTTGTAATGGTTCAAAGAATCAACCGATATGAGTCGGCAGAGTTATATTTGACTCGGCACCTTTTGAGTTGATATTGTTACACGTTACGTATAAACTTCAAATTTCGCACAATTTGGCCGAGTTGTATCCAAGTCAATTCCGAGTCGCCGAGTTATTGTCATTGAATCAACGATTCTGCGACGCCGCGATATGACATGAATTGTACTTGGAAAATCATTGCTTGATGCCGTGATACGTCATATTTAACCATTTCTTTTAGGTCATATTACCCGATGCCGCGACGCGACGCGACACCACAACCGATGTGTCTCACAACCTTTCAAGTCAATGGCCGATTCCACGATCTTGAACCATGTCCTTCTTCTTCCTTTCCTTTTTGTAGTTGGAAAATCTTTGTCTATATGCCATTTTCTTTTTCTTTTAAGTTGGAAAATTGTACAAACATGTTTTATGGCTTGCCATCGTTATTGTGATGGGAGGTACAGCAACCTTACTGCTCATTTGCAACAAGTATTTTCATGCACTGCGTGATATATATAGGGATGTCTCCCCCTTTTCATTTTAGACCATGTTAGGGATTTTGCTAGCAGCACTTCTGGTAGAGACCTTAAGTAGTAGTTGTTTCTCTGTATCCTCACTCTGAAGCGAAAAAAGTTATTCATGCTTTGAAGAGAAAAATTTGAATTTTAAAGAGGAAGTGTTTCAGTTCCTTCCCCAGAGCTTTGTTTTAACTTGATTATTTTTATTGGAACATACTTGCAGGCATCTTTATTGTCTGTGATTTTCGCAGGTTAAGCAAATGCTAATTGCCCTACTGTGTGAGTCAGAAATGAAGTTGGCTGATGAAACTATTGAGATAATACTGGATAAGGTGAGTTAACATTCCTGATCTTGGAATAGTTAGAGGAATGACTCTTACAGTCTTACTTTATCTCTTACAAACTTCTCTGGACATGCTTCACGTCCCTTGTTGAGTCAGCTTTGTGTTTTGATTCTCATGCTTCCTTGGATTCTCATGTTGCTTGGGCATTTAAGATGGTCACCTATTCCACTCGGGCCAGGAATGGAGAAGAAATGGAGAAAGTAACAATAGGCATCAATTGTTTGATGTTACGAATTTATTTACTTTTCAGAGGTGGATATAGTATGCTAAAATATATTTCATTTTCTCACTTTTAAGGATTAAATAGAAGGATAGAAAGTTCATATATGGCACTGCAGGTACACCTCAATTATTTGGTGGCAGGTCCAATGAGTATGATTTTCGTGCATCCAATATGGATATTTTTGGTGCATGCAATATATAGATCTTTTTCAATATGCAATATGGATTGTTACATCGTAGTGCCTCCCTATCCTTTTCGTATGGTTTGTTTACCTCCAAGGTGGTCTGTTGGTCAAATTTTTTCATTAAGCTGCTAGCTTAATACTCGTTTATTAAATTTTGTGAACAGACTTTTTTGGAAGCGGATGTCAATCAGGATGGAAAGATAGATAAATCTGAATGGCACAATTTTGTGTCCCGAAATCCTTCATTGTTGAAGATAATGACACTTCCATACTTGAGGTATTGTAGCTCATTGTTTGTCTTTGCACATAGACATCAGTCACCCGACATCTGAGTATATTAATTGCTTTTTAACAATATGCAGGGATATAACTACAACATTCCCAAGTTTTGTGTTTAATTCTGAGGTTGATGAGATTGCTACATAACTTGAGAATGATTTTGTGCACGGTTTTGGATGGGTATTTGAGTTTTGAACCATTAGAACCACTCAATAACACTGAAGTTGCAGAAGAGTATCCAACTGATGCCAAAGTGAAAGCTATCTACATTGATTGATAAGGTTGTGGCTGTGTGTAATTAGCAGCCCTATTCCATTTGTAAATTGGTTTTTAATTTGGTATTTGCTATACCCTTTTTGGCCCGACAACAGGAATTGATGTGCTATGAGACTGATTTTGTCATATGATTTGTTCTTTGTTCTGAGTGGATAAATCCTTTCTTGGCTTGAAATTAGATTTTAGTGATACAACAATTTTTATGGGCATCAAATCAAGGGTTTGAATAGTAGAAATAACTTCGACGCTTGCAAAAGGTAATCCTGCCACAGTGGGATTAATGATGAATTTTATATATAGATACAATGCTAAAATATGTATAAATATATATATATATTCTATCCTTTTTTATCACTAAATACAAAAAAGTCCATTTTTTTAACATTTTATTCTTTCAATCAAACAAAAAGGAAGAAATAAAGGATTTTTCCATTGGATGATAGAAAGTGTTACTCTCATTTGTTGTCTGTCTATTTTTCTATCTAATATACCATTGACATTATTAATAAAATCTTCAGTTCATTACACTCAGAGGTGGGACACAAAAAATGCTCACATGTTTTACACTTCCGGCAAATATTTTGTGAAGAAACGTATGGTGCCATGTTCTTGTTCCTTAAATTTTTGGGCAATCGAGAGAATGGGGATCCTGGGTTAAAAGTTCATAAAAAAAGAAGAAGGCGTAATTAGTAAACGAGATTCTTGTCATTGTGAGATTTGGGGAGAGTCAGACATACGTAATTTTACCATACTCAACATGTACGTTCATTTACATGCAAACATTGTCCAATAGAATCCCATTAAATACTCTATCACCAATATACAAGCTCAAAACAACTTTATATGATTAATTTATAAAATACAATTCAAAAGTCACATTTAGGCTCCATCACCAACAAGGACCGAGAGCTGTTCACTGGTGCTTGTCTAGCACCTGAAAATGTTCTCATAAAAGGTGAGCAACGTTCAATACGGTATTTCCTAAGAAAGCTACTCCCTAACCTAGATACATATGAATGTCATATGCAATTCATCACATAAACCACTCATTTAAGAACATACATTTCATAAATGAATACTATATTTTTCATGTGCCATGTTATGAGATGGAACTCATACATGAAATGTAACTCCGAGTTTTCCACCGGCTCCCATAACACATGAAATATCATGTGTATGCATCCGGGTATTTTAAACCTCCGCCATTGATGTTAGACATCTAATGACTATTTTATAAAATCTTTGTGTTTTTCTTGAAGTGAGTATTTATGGACTTCTACCAACGGATACCCAACTGACACGGCATCTATGAACTTTCACTAACGGCTTTGCATACGTCGACACATTTTATGGATTTAATACCAACGAGAGTGCGTATTCAAAATTACCGGGTCATGCACCCGAGGGAAAATCTAACATTTCTTGTTAATTCCAACACATATTTTCAATGCAACCCGTGTGATTTAGTCAAACCTAGGTCTAACTTTCTTGAGCTCACGCATCAACCTAGTAAGGATGTTGTTTGATTAAAAATATTCACTTACACCCACACTCATGTCAAATGTCCATAAATGTAATGTTACTCGTGCATATGCAAATGTAATAAATAATTGTAATTTACAAGATTATGTTCATCATATAATGAGCATATTATGAACATATTCAATTTCCATCAGATTCCTAAATGTCTCAAGTGTCAATTATATCATAAAGTATATAATCACATTTCCCAACACCAATGCGCATATAACATTTCTACTTCAAATAACACACTTAATCATCTATAGGCATTTTATCAAACACTTTTAAGGCACAAATGTAGACACATAGCATGCCCAAATAACACATTCTTCATGAAATTCAATGCCAAACAATTTTATCATACCAAATTATTCAAAAATTGGTTTTAGCATTTTCTTATACTTAGTTTTCACATTTCAACCGGGTTTGTGTTATACATGATAATATGTCTCTAAATCCTACTCATTTTATACTTCAACCCTAATTTAGAAATAAACCTAATTAGGAAAGGAACCCTACCTCTTGTAACGAATATTTGCGTAGAAGACGTCCCAACGATCTCAAATCAAGCTTTCGAAACTTGATCCCATAAATCCCGTCCTTAAGACCTTGGTGAAACTCATGATCTTTGGTATGTATGCGTAGTTCTTGTAGCGTAAAACAATTTTAACTCTTAGTCTGAAGAGATTCGAAGGTCGGATTCTCATTAATCGGAGAGAGAAGGTGAGAGAACCCTTGATTTTTCTCTCTCTTTTTCTAGAAATTACAGTAACAAAATGGGAGAAAAATTTTGCGAGACGAATCTAACAGTGAAATTCGTTTCGTCATCCGAATTCTAGAAAAATTCAAGTTTTCAACTTACACCGTAATACTAATTACTATTTTACTATTGTTTCATAAAATTTTAATTTTCCTGGATTTCAAATATTTTAAAGTTGGCATTATTTCTTTTCGTTGCCTTTGTAACACTACTCTTCCTCTTCACTTCCATCAAACTCCCTCTTAAAGTGACTATCTCTTTACTGTGCTCGATCTTTTTGTCACAACAACATTTTTGGGTTGCCTATTCCATCATATTATGCATCTCTGCTTGGGATTGTTTGCTTTTCAATCAGGTTGAGTGGCCTTTCAATCAGCTCAAGTGTTTTTAACAAATTAGAAGTTAAAAAAATAAAAAAGTACTCAAATAACAATGATAGTCATTAGATAGGTATTCGATAGTTTCAAAAATAAAAAATATTTGTATATACCCGTACTCATTCTCTCTCTCTCCCTCTCCCCCTCTAATAAAAAATAAAAATGAAAGTTAAAATCTTTTTCTCAGTAATAATAACACGTCTCTTTTTTTTTTTGTCTCTCTCCCACATAACAAATTAATACTAAAAATAAAAAAAAACCTCATTTAATATTTTCAATTTAAGACTTAAATTATCTGAAGCCAATTGATAAATAGAACATAAACGTAAAAATGTTATGACAAACATATGCAACCTAGTTTAGTAAACACCAAAGATTTTACTATATCTTTAATACCAAATGATGAGGCATTTTAACGGTCATTAGATAGATAGTGAAAGTCAATGAGATTCATTAATTCAATCACCCACATTCATTGAGTAAATAAATTTTGATAAGTATAACATTCTTCATCGATTAACATATGCAACTTAGCTTCATATCAATGACAAAAAAAAAAATGCATTTGTAGTAACTTCCAGGAAACTGGCTTCGCAAGAAGTCAAAAAGCCTTGAGCTTCTCTGGATGCCCATCCTGGGAAAGCACTATTAATGAAAAAGTTAAAAACTCACATTGGCCAAACAACACATCGCTTCGAAAAGGAAATGGACTTCTTCACTTGAAAAGTCCATCCACAAACGAGGCCCGCCAAACACACCAAAAACTCCATGGTCTATAAAATCAATTCTCTCTCTCTGTCTCTCTCTTTCCACGTGGAAACCTGTGGACCGGTTGATCCTTTTCTTTTTTGAACTAAAAGGACCCCTTTAATCCTTGTGTCAAGACTCTTGACTTCGAATGAATGGCAACTGACTCAGCCGTGATTTAGACCGACGCAAGTTGCATGGATACGTGGCTTTTCCACGAGCCAAACCAAATGAGTTTTTTCTTTTTTCACTAATCTCAAGACATGGACAGACTCTGCTTATATATACACACACACGCCTTGTCCCATCTCCATGGCACCCACCAAACTTGAGAAACAAAAAAGAATGACGATGCACTGCAACATGGATTTTGGAAACTAATGCAGAGACAGAGACAGAGAGGTTCAGTTACCAAAACCCAATTACACATTTAATAATTTTGAATATTTTTTATATTTTCAGTTAACTGTCTTTTTTTTTTTTTTGAACACATTTTCTATACTGACACCATACTTCTCACACAGAAATGATTAAACTGTCTTCAATTATCTTTGATTAGGGTAATCCGTACTTGAAGGAACGATACAATGTAAATGATTTTAGGTGGTCATTGAATGAGTCTATTTGAGACCGTTAAATGGACTTATCGAAGCATATCTTGTATTATATTATAAATTTTACATGTTTATATGATTATGGATAGATTGTATGCAAAATTTCAATTAACATATGCAACTTGGCTTCATATCAATGACCCAAAAAAAAAAAAATGAGTTTGTCGTAACTTCCAGGAAACTGACTTCCCGAGAAATGGAAAAGCCTTGTCCAGCTCGCTGAGCTGAGCTTCCCTTGATGCCCAGGAACCAAACAACACATTGCTTCGGAAATGGACTTCTTCACTTGAAAAGTCCATCCACAAGGCCCGCCAAACACACCCAAAACTCCATGGTCTATAAAATCAATTCTCTCTCTGGCTCTCCGCACGGATACCTGTGGACCGTTTGATCCTTTTCTTTTTTGAACTAAGTGGACCCCTTTAATCCTTATACCTGGTGCGTTTTTCCTCGGTGATGATTGGTGGAGGGGATTAACAAAGTCAAGAGGAGTTTTCTCAGTGAGTGTCCGCGTGGAGAGTGCGACAGAGAGAGAGAATCGATTTTATAGACAATGGACCTTATAACACTGGACAATAACAGAGAAAAATCCTGTTGACTTTGTTTATCCCCTCCACCAATCATCACCGAGGCCCCATTGATTTAGAGATAGGCAAGTTCTGACCGTTTGATCCTTTTTTTTTTTGAACACGTACTTTTGCTTTTTTCACCAATCTCAGGACATGTACAGGACTCTGCCTATATATACACAAGCCTTGTCCCATGCCCATGGCACCCACCAAACTTTAGAAACAATAAAGAAAGAAGATGCACTGCAACATGGACCTCAGATATATTGCTGCCCCATTCTTAAACCTCCTCCTCTTCTACCTCCTCCCAAATCTCCAAATCAAGCCTTGGAACCATGACATTCATCAACTTGATCATCTCATTCTGAGGTTGGTCTACTTTCTTTTCATTGCCTTTGTCACACTGCTCTTCCTCTTCACTTCCATCAAACTCCCTCTTAAAGTGAGTGTCACAGCCGGTGTTGCTCGTTTGCGAGCCGGAGACTTCTCTGTTCCAGTGGCTCTTTCGTGGTTATGCTCAATTTTTTTGGCACAACATCATTTCTGGGTTGCCTATCCCATCATCTTATGCATCTCTGCTTGGGATTATTGTTGGCTTTT